TATGACTCAGTGCTGCATGATCATGAGTCATTCCCCTGGCCACTAGGTAGAAACCCCAGAACCAATCCATAACCTTTTAAAATTTGCAATTACATACATATCCCAATCATGATCCTTTCCCAGATTCTGTAGTTCTGTCTGTGACAGTGATGGACTGACCTGCCACCAATCATGATCTTGTGATGATTTCTTTTGTTCTCTGTCGTATATATGAAAACCATGGCTGTGAATCAGGGGATTCCATTGGCCTCTGTATTGTGTGTATGATGATGGTTTCCCTCATCTGTATGATTATGTTTGTTTTGTCTTTGTCCTGTTAAGGTTTAATAAAAGGGTCTCTATAGAATATGTTTGAATCTGGGATCTCTTCCCCTTCCATGAATATAATCTCCATAGTTTGTTAACTTGCAGCAAAGTAAGTAAGGCATGTATTGACAAAGTATCATCAGAAACACGATGTTATATGTGGATAAACAAAATCTTAAGGGTTTAAAAGAAAGCAGGTAGTGGGCTCCATCAAGAGCTCAGTGGCACATCCACTGGTGTCATGGGTAGAGCGGTCATCTCACAGAGGGGCCTCTGTGGAAACAGTGTGTCCCAAGGGAAGAGAAGGTCAAGAAGAAGAGGCCCGTCCAGCAAGCAAGCTCATGCAAAGAACTTGGTTCATGTCAGAATTCCTGTGAAACTTAAAAGGTAAAAATGGATGCCTGTACTCAACCCTGGTCTACCCCCAACCCCCACCCCTGGCCCTGGGGAGGGATCTGGACATTAGTGTGTTTAAAAGCCTCCCCCAGTGATTCTGACTTACTTTGGGGGCTGGGAACCTCAAAGCCTTGGACTTGGAAGGGTGGGTGAACCTGACTATTTGCTCTTAAGGCAGATAATTAACATCAAAAGTGCTGTTTTCATAACTAAAGCTCTGGGAGACCCTGTGAGGCAAGAGAGCTGTCCTGTGGTTAACAATGAAAAGGTGAGAAGATCTTCTCATCTTGTCCCCAGTTCCAAGGGAGCTCCAGTGCACCAGGGCAAGGAAGCCAAGACTTGTTCTTGAGCTTATGAGCCACCCCCTTAAGCCCTCCCAGAAGCTCTGGAAACAAGGTCACATCAATGATGACTAAACAAAAATTAGATTTGCTGTTGTTTGTAGACAGATGTTGATTCTGACTCTTGGTAACCCAATGTGTTAGATAACTTCTCCATAGGGTTTTCTTAGCTGTAACCTTAACATACCAATCTGTTGTATGGTTTAAAACCCACCCACTGCCATCCACTTGATTCTGACTCATAGCAACTGCCCTATAAGGTTTCCAAAGCTGTAAATCGTTCTGGAAGCAGAGCAGCTGGTGGGTTTGAAACGCCTACCTTTTGGTTAGCAGTCATGCACAAACCATTTGAATTATGTAAGAACCATAAAAAGAGATCTGCAGTCATGGCTATTTGAATGCATATGAGTCTTAAGGGAGTTTACAGGTTCAATGGCCTCCTTGGTGGGTCCCAGATCCACTGCTGACTGCATTTGTGACAGAGTGACTTATGGAACTCTATTTCCTTGTATGTAAAAAATGACCTTTAGGGCAGTGATGCTCACTCTCTTGGATTTTATAGACCAGTCATCATCAAATGAAAAAATGAAGAACTGACATGTGGCTACTGTAACTTTTTATAAAAGAGTAAAACCCATGCTTGACTCTAATCATTTCATAAAAGCGGGCTATCTGAACATCAGAAAGGAAAGATAATTGCATAATCTGAAAACTGCACGTTTTGAACTTTCCAAACCACCCTACACTACCCTTGCCTTTCTCATTTTGCTGTGGGCTCACGAAAAGTTTATTGACAACTCATCCCTGAGAACTAATGCCCTTTGCCTGGAACACTTAGGGGCAGCTGCACTATTTGTAGATGTTAATTTACATGAAGAAGTGGTTTCAGGGCTTCAAGGGAGGCTTGAGGAAGCAAGTGCCAAAGTCCCCCTGTGTCTGGCTTCAATTTCCAATATTACAAGCTGTGTGGTGAATGCTAGCGGCCAGAAATAGAGTCATTGCTCTAAAAGGACAGAGTATGGCAAGTAGAATCATGGGAATTTGAACTTGGAAGATTTCTGAGCAATAATCTCATCCCCATAGTTTTCTAACTAGTGGTCCATAGCCATGGGGGCGCTGCTTGGATCAGCAGACCTCCATTTTAATTGCTTTGAGGTTCTGATAGAGTTCAGTGTTTTGTTTTGTTTTAAATGCTTGAACACCTCCAATCCAGTCTATCTCTAATTTATACAAGGGGAAACTGAGTCTGGAAGAAGGTAAGGGATTTGCCCTGGGCCACACATTAAATCGGCAGAGTTTGGTAGCATGGTACCAGTAGTGTAGGGATGGGAAAGATTTTTACTGTTAAATCTTCATGTGAACTGTCCCCAGATTCATCAATGTTTGACTCAACCTCTTTTCACTGCTCCACTGTAGGGAAAGATAACGAAGATGGTTTCCCTTTAAAATACTCTGACAGACTGTCTCCTTTTCACACTGGATTCTGGACTCTGGACTCTGATTGGCACACTATTCCCTCAGTGATAATGATAAATATTTCCCTGACAATTGTTGAAAACTAATTTTTAACCTCTACATTTGTATTTTTGTTCCCATTTTGACTATCATTGGTAAAACTCTGTAATAGTATTTCTTCATACTTGAAAAGTATAGAGCTAATATTTGTATGAATAGAATTTTATGATTCTAAAGTCATGTCAGGAGCTCTGGTGGGATAGTGCGTAAGGCATTTGACTGCTAACCAGAAAGCTGATAGTTCAAACCCACCAGCCACTCCTCGGAAGGAAGGCTGGGCAATCTACTTCCATAGTGATACTGCCTCAGAAACCCAAGGAACAGTTGCTATGAGTTGGCTCCAATTTGATGGCAGTGCATTTGGTTTTGGGTTTAAGGTCGTGTCTATGTAAAAAAAATTAAAAGTATTTTATTTTGTGAAGGATGCACTTTAATTGTCTGAAATATACTGTCTGTCTACACAGTGAGATGAGAGAGGCACCTCTTTGCTTCCCAAAGATCTTCCTACAGAGGCTCACGTAGTGGGCTAATGACCTCTACATGCCAAGTCTACCACAGACCACATAACCCATTAATTTTCTAGAAAGGCCTGCAATGGCATAATGTAGTATCTGATTACTTTGGATACAATGCAGCTTCAAATAGCAAACAAAATGACTAATACCGTGTAAGGTCAAGCAATGTTTTTCACACTGTGGCTCCCAATCATTAGGATCATGAAATCATTTAATGGGTTATAAGAGCACTATAAGAACTCTGGTAGCATAGTGCCTAAAACACTTGACTGCTAACCAGAAGGCTGGTGGTTCAAACCCACCAGTCACTCCTTGGAAGGAAGGTTGGACAATCCTACTTCTGTAGTGATACTGCCTCGGAAACCCAAGGAGGGGTTGCTATGAGTTGGGGCCGACTCGACGGCAAATAACAACAACAACAATAACAACAAGAGCACTATAAACAAATGATAAACAAACAAAAAAACAAGAGCCTTAAAGGGAATAGAAGAGAATAAAATAAATATTACATATAAATATTGCTTCATGAGCATTTTATTTCAAGCACACATATAAATGTATGTACACAAATGTACTTGGCCCTGATACAAAATATATTTCTTACTTAGGTCACAGTTCTTTAGAGCAAAACACTGTCCCAGAGGAAAATTTACTTGGCCATCAGCCCCTTGAGAATTTTTTTTTTCCTTCTCTCATTTCTGAGCAATTTCTCCACACCCTGAATATGCCAAAGGTCCACTCTCCTCAGCAGGATCCCGAGCAGGATCATTTCTCTGCTCACTGCTATTTTCTGGATGGGCAGTTCCTCCCATCAGAGCCCTGTGAGCTCAACTGAGGGAAAGGTGCGGCAGTCTGTCTGAACGTGGGATGGTGGAAGCCTCAAGTCCCTGCCTGCAACTTGCCAGGCATGCTGCAAGGGGCTTTACAGGCATGATTCTTTGCAGGCATGATTTTCTTTCTTTTACGTGTAGCAGTGTCATCTGTACATCTGGAGCTCATAGTAGAGTATGCATGGTATGCACTGTCTGCCAACATGCACATATGCACAGTACACACAGAGGCTGAGGGACTGTTTCTAAATAAACTGATTCAACAATGGCACATTTCAGATTGGTTACAAACCATATAATTAAATTCAACAAAACAGAACAGTTCCAAATAAAATCAAATGTTTACTCATTCTTCATACTTAAGAAATACAAAAGGTCTATGCAAACCTTTATTTATAGTAATCAAATCATAGTTGTTATATAAAAATTGAGGCACTGGTATTTTGTGGCTAATGTTTGTAAGCATGTTACTTTAGCATTAGTAAAGTTATACACTTGTTAAAAAATTATTATCTTAACATCTATTCAGTACCAGATAGTTATGATTTCCATCTAAAATAATCTAATAAATACTAGAACATGATGCTAAGGGATAAGGCAAACAATTTAGGGATTTTCCAAATGGTATTAACAAAGAAACCTATCAATGTGTACCTGGTTTGGGGGTGGGAATGATTTGGCCTATGATTTAATGGACTCTAGGAGAGTGAATCAAAACTTTTTAAAATCAGAAGTACATTCATAATGATCTAGTTCAAACCCTTCATCTTTCATATTACAAAATGAAGGCACACAAACAGTAAGTGACTTGTATAAGGTCACGTAATTACACAGTAAGAGGAATGCCTAGGTCTCCTGATTACAAATCTAGGATCCGTTCCCTTTCATAACAGAGGTTTATACTATAATATAATCAAAGAAAACAAGCAACACATGACAACATTTCAGATTTAAAATACCCCAGAGCAAGAATTTAATAAAAATATATGTTGACAACTATGTTCAAGGTAATATAATTTGTGTGGAACACAGTGCTATAAACATTTATGATAAAAGTTCATTGGTGCAGTAATTCCTTTGTATGTTTATGTATTATTCTATGTACTGCTTGTATTTTCATCTGTATTATTTGAGTTAAATTTTTTCCACAAAAATTTCTCATTTGATTTCCAAAGAGAAGTTTCTAGTTCTTCTTTCCTTTTGGAGGATGCAGCAAGGGGCACTTTTTCACATAAAGTCTCAATTACTGCCAAGTCGGTGAGTTTATTAAGACTGTCGTCATTCTGCTCATTCAATATGTCCCAGAAATCTTTTGGTCTCTGTTTTGCTTTTTCCATGGGCCCTGAAAGAACTTTCTTTGGCAGTTGTGTGAGGCTGTTCCCATGACTTTTAAAGAGGTCATCAAGAATAGAGGTGTCACCAAGTAACTCTCCCACAGAAGTGTTTTCTAACAGTGGATTGTCTATCTTTTTGGTTTCTGATTTAAAAAGGGGTCCATTTCTTGAAACATCCGTTTTTGTTAAGTCCTGTTGGTCTTTTCTGGTATTTCCTAACTTTCTCTCATATGCTTCAGACTTATAGGATGCTATAGTATTTTTGGATAATTGGCTTATGATCTCATTGTCGATCTCTTGGGTAGAGCTAACAGGTAATTTCTTAGCTTCTCCATCATTAGAAAATGCCTCTTCTCCACAGAAACTGTCATTTTTAAATTTGACTGATTTTTCTTTATATATTTTTTGGCTGTGAATTTGGTAAACTTTGTTGGTTGAATCTTTAAATGACAAAGTTTCAGAATCTGACAGCCCTTCCTTTATAAGAGATTCTCTCTTTTTAGATTTATTCCTGATTTCATGAGCAGATTTGGCTAATTCTGAAACAGAATCCACAAAAACATCTTTTATTTCTGGATGCTGAGAAACATAAAACTCTCTTAGCATTTTTTGTCGTTCTTCTGATGTGGCATTAGTTATACGTTCAGCAAATTTCTTTACAGAAGATTCATTAAAGTAAGAAGCCATTTCTTCAAATTGTTTTCTAAAGATTTAATGAATAAAACCAGTGGTTATTTCATTATATTTTATTTTTAAAGAACTCATCATCAATGACATGAAATGTAGAGAGAAAGCAATGTGATTGTTACAGTTAGTATCTGTTAGCTTAACTTCACAATGAAAACATATTTTATATAAGCAGAATGTGACCTCTTCCTTCAGGCTCCTGAAAATAGTATTTTAGCTCATAAAATCACCAGCTTTTAAAGTTATTCTGATTTATACTATGAGGCATTTCCTGGGGATGAAGGGATCCCAGCATGCTTCTCCTCCAGCCAGCTAATTTATGACTGGCATGAGAATCATAATTTATACAACATATATTTTGAAAATCTATATTGCATTCAAGTCCCATGCAACAAAATTAAGACAAAGGGTCCTAATGAATAGAAAAGAGAAAACCCTGAAAGTTAGGAAAGGAATTTGTTTTTTCTTTTCTCTCCCTTTTCTTCTTCTTCCACAAATACAAAATAGAAATTTCACATAACTTTCTGATGAGATCAAAAGGAAAGTTCTAAACCGATAAACTAGATTCTTTTTTCCTCAACTGGTCCAATTTCAGAGTGGACAGCTGAACTAGTAAGTGAGATGCTATCTGAAGAAGTGAGTTGCACTCTCACTATATGATACCAATACAAGCTGTTATATGCATATGTGAGGAAATGGGCCTTCTGAACCTCTGGTAAAATGGAGGCAGAAAGTCCATTTCAGACCCTGGACACTGGACTCAACATGTTTTGTCCAGGTGAGCATGTTGCTTTGCTGATGCCAAGTTTGGGTCTGGAGCCAAGAGAGTCCAAGGTTTGCAAACATTCCTTTTCACAAAAGCTGTACATGGTGTTGCAGCAAACAGAGTTATAATTTTATTTTATAAAACATTTCCTTAAAACATTCATTTATTCATTCAACAAACATTTGTAGAGCCCTATTAGGTGCTAAGGGAGGGCTCGTGGCATAGTGCCTAAGGTATTTGACTGCTATCAGAAGGCTAGAGGTTCAAACCCAGCAGGCACTCCTCAGAAGGAAGACTGGGCAATCTACATCTGTAGAGATACCACCTACGAAACCCAAGGAGAGGGGTTTCTATGAGCTGGAACTGACTCAATGGCAGTGAGTTTGGTGTTTTGTTTTGTATTGTTTTTGTTTTGTCAGTATTAGGTGCCAAGAAGCCCTGGTGGGACAATAAAGAGTTAAGCCAACCCAAAGGTAGGTAGTTTGTACCCACCAGCGTGCTGTGGGAAAAAGAACCGGACCATCTCCTCCTATAATGATTACAGCCTAGCAAACCCTATGGGCCAGTTCCACTTTGTCCTATTGGGTCATTGTGAGTTGGAATTGACTCCACAGCACACACCACCACCACATTATATGTTAAGGGGGTAATAGGAACTATGGGAGCTCTAGTGGCATAGTGCTTAAGGCATTTGACTGCTAACCAGGAGGCTGGCGGTTCAAACACTCCTCAGAAAGAAGATGGGGCAATTTACTTCCATAGAGATACTGCCTCGGAAACCCAAGGAGGAGTTGCTATGAGTCGGATCTGACTCGACGGCAGTGAGTTTGGTTTATTTAATAGGAACTATATACCAGTGAACAAGATCCAGTTCCCTATCTTTAAGTTTACAGTCTAGTTGGAGAAGACAAACACATTAAAATCAAACTAGGATAGAGTGATAGACTCCAGGATGGTGGCAAAGACAAGGCCCTATGGGAGTCCACAGAAGAGGCACCTAGACCAGTATTTGGAGTAGGCAAGGAGGGTCAGGCAGGTTTCCTGGAGGAGGTGCCTTCTTTGCTGTCACCCCAAGGACAAGTCAGTCAGTGACAGAGGAAGCTTTCCAGGAAGAGGGCATGCACACAGGGCAAGTGGAGCACAGAGGTGTTGGGAGGCTGCCAGTGGAAGACCAGAAATCATGAGAGGTCTTATGTGCCAAGTTCAAAAATTTGAATTTTATCCTATATACAGAGAATCTTTAGGGTAAATAATGATTTATTTTTAATATATGTAAGTAGGAGGCTTAATGCCACTATTTTTGCTTCCCAGACTAGGTTATATAAAGTTGGTGCCTCCACTGATTTCAGTGGCAATGCACACTGCATACTCATGGCTCTTTTGTGGCTTCTGATTAGTACTCGTGATACATAGTCCCTGTGGCTCTTAGACTGGTGAGTGTTCCAAAACCCAGACACTATATATGCCTGTTCAACAACCATGCTGGTCTCCAATAGAATACTTAATAACACAAGTACAAGCTTCCAAATTTCTGTCCAGGAAATAGCCAATGTTTCTGCTGGAAAGCAATAAGCATGTTCTGAAAAGGTCCTCCTTTTCATTTCACATGAGTGAATGAATGGAATGTTATATGTTTTGTTTATTAATCATCTTCAAATCCATTTTCATGGCCTTTCTAATAAATATTTGTGCTTGTGAAGATAAAATGATTGCCAAAGTTACATGCTGATGTCCTTTATTTATCTAAGTCTCAGTAATGTCTCAGCAGCTGCCAAACTAGTTTTACCTTTGCTGTGCTGCCACCATGACCCTACCTGTGACCCCCCACCCCGTTTGCCACCTTTAAGAGAAAAGTTACTTCTCGCACCATCTTATCTGAGCTGTATGTGAGTGAGTTGTGCCATGATGTTGCTTTTTACAGGGTGAGTTATGATTGTAATTCATTTTATTTTGCCTTCTAACTCGCTTTCCTAATTTTTGGTCTCCAAAAGAATTTTCTCTGAGAATTTAAATAACTGCAAGGTACTATCAGGGTATAAGCTAGCCACTCTGGGAGGAAAATTTAGTAAACCAGAGTAGACACTCACCAGCCACTTAGAGAAAGGAAAACAAATGGACACTAAAGATAGGCATCTTTCAGCAAGTGCATCAAAGTAGTTATTATCACAGATAAAATTCATATGTCTCCTCTCTTCTTGAGGAACTGGTGGAAAGGAGGAGGAATGCAGCTAAAATCATCTCTGTACTTAAGCTTTCTGAAGTGAAGGTATGGCTGAAAACTTCATTCAAATGATTCATGTGGCTGTGCCATGGTACAAATTCTTAATTAGTACAAACCAGCATGGTTTGCAGGAAAAATGAGGTGTCAGCAGTTTGGATATTGTTCCCTATGTCAGGTCTTGGCATTCTAATATTAGACACCTTTCAACTTTTTCCTCAGTTGCTCAAGACAAAAAGTTAGAGTGATTCTGTAGTTTTTAAATTTTTCTTTCTCCCCCACTCCTAACAACCAGTCCATCACCAAATTTTGATATTCTACCTTCAAAATATTTATTGAGATCATCTATTTGCTCTATCTCCACCCACTGTGGTCTAAACCATGGTTACTTAGTTTCTTATGGTCTCCTCTCATCCACTCTGTCCTCTTCCACACAGAAGCTGCAATATGCTTCTAGAAACAGAAGTCAGACAATATAAGGCTTCAACAGCTTTCTACTGTACTTGGGACAAAGACCAAATTCTTTTCCATGCTCTCTAAGGATCTGCATGCTCCAGCCCCACTTATGTCTCTACTTTCAGGTCATGCTACTCTCCGCTTGGCTTATCATGCGCCAAGAACACTGATCGTCTCTCAGTTCCTCCAACTCATCGAACCTCTCCCCTCTGCAGGAGTGCTCTTATTTTGATCTTTGCAAAGCTATCCTCAGATCTCAACTTAAATATCACCTATACAGAGAGATTATTTCTGATCTCAATAGGAAGGTGACTGCACCTCCCCTTCCCATTATTCTCAAGGCAGCCTGTCCTATTTCTTTCCTATAACATACCACTTTTAAATTATTTAATTATATGGTTTTTTTTTTTTTACCTGTTTTAATTTTATGCTTTGACACCAACACTTACCTTTGCACCATGAGCTTTGTGTCTGTCTATATTTTCACACCGATATACTCTGGAGCCAGTATATTAGGGGCTCAATAAATATTTAATGAATGAATGAATGAATGAAACACACTGAAGTATTTTATTTCTCTATTATAAAGCAATTTCATTTTCTATCAAATCAGAGATTAGCTTTCTAAAAACTTCTGAAACGCTGGAATTTATTTTTTAAATATAAACATTTATGTTTTTCTGAAATATTCAGATGCTAGGTATGGTCATAATTCAAACAATCTGTATATTTTACTATGGAGCTATATTTATTTTGAGAATTATTCTTAAAGCCTAGTGTGTCTCAGAGGACATACCTGCGAATCCCTTTTGGCGTTTCTCCAATTATGAAGGTGGTCTGGTCTGTACGGTAGACTTTTTTCTTCTTCTGGCTTACGGGGTATGAGAGGTAAAAGGAACAGGAGAGGCCTCCTTCAGCTGGTTTTTGGCCCTTCTCTGTGCATGTTGACACACCTGTCTCAGTATTTTCTTGAAATGTCTGAAAAACAGGAAGGAAGCAAAAATCAAGTCTGAAAATTTTTCATTTCTGGTGAAATAAGGAAGCTGTCTTATTCTTCCCCAATACTCTTTATAATCAAGTATATGATATTCAACTAAAGTCATTATGTCAGAAGATGTAACCTAGATCTTTCAAAAGGAGACACTGGGGTACCTTACTTTTATACCTTCTTTGATATAAAAATGGCAAAAATATGATGCTTCTATCTTCAAGATTGTGGGTATACACATTTTGATATCCACCATCCTCCAAAAAAATGTCCTACCTAAATTTTAAAAATTCTGTAATTTCTCTCAAAGTTAGTAGGCAGCCTTTCAGTTATTTAATTTTACATAAGTAAATAAACTTCAAAAATAACAATCTTTATGTGATAATGAAATAAATCAGAAACTATTTTTAAAAATCTTATTTTTATAAGCCCTATTTTTTATAGCCTCCACGGGGTTGCAAGAATATTTAGTGATTTTAAGATGTTAATTACAGTTGGTGGAAATTATAGAATTATATTTATTTTACAGACTATGGGTTGTTTGCTTAATGAAAATTGCTAACTACAGTGGGTTAAGAAAAAGATAAATTTTCAACTAAAACAGCAGCTGTCAAGTAGACTTTGACTCATGGTGAGCAGAACAGTGTATGTGTGTCAGAGTAGAACAGTGTTCCACAGGGTTGTCAATGGCTCTGATCTTTCAGAAGTAGATCACCAGGCCTTTCTTCTGAGGCACCTCTGGGTGGATTTGAATCTCCAACCTTTCAGTGAGCAGTTGAGCATGTTAATCATTTGCACCACCCAACTCAACTCACTGCTGTCGAGTCGGATCCCACTCATAGCAACCCTTCCTTTGGTTTCTGAGGCGGTATCACTAGGAAAGTAGATTGCCCAACCTTAATTTCCCAGAGAACATGGTATTGTGAATAGTGTGCAAAGTCCCCATCCCATCTCCAAAAGAGAAATATTTGATACAATCTGACAACAACAAAATTATATTTGAAATCGAAAGCAAAAGAGGAAAATCTCTAGGTGCCAGAAACAAAGAAGTAGTTCAAAGTGAGTGGGAGCTGAATCTCAGCAGCACCAATGGCAACGTCTGAAGTTATACCTGCAAGGCCTTGTGTGGAAGGAGGGGAGATGGAAGCGAGTTAATTCTCTGCATTGAAAACAAAATCAAACAAATAGAAAACCCAAGAGGGACTAAAAAGGTAAATCTGACCTTGGAAAACCCAGACTGGGGACACAGCAGAGAAGCAGGCTACCTTCTTAAACTAGACAGAAGTGTTAACTGGTTTAAAAAAAAAAAAGGAACTTCCAGTCTGTGCCATTTATGGAATCTGATTTTGCACCACCTGTATGTTACGGAAAAACTACGCTGAAAATTCAACATAAACAAACTGGCCCAGAACCAGTGAACCAAAGTATCAATGAGGGGCAAATAAAAACATAAATAAAGAGACTTCCAAAATCCAGACAATATCTGTGATTCCAATGGGGGAAAAATTCTCACTGAAAAGGAAGTCAGACCCAAATTACAAAGAACATGTGAACACCAGCACCCCAGTGGCAGATGCACCAAATGGGAGAAGCCACAGCTCAGCAGGCACAGATGATAAAGCTTATGAGAGAGACTTCCAATCATTACCATACGCAAAGCGAGTAAGGAAGGAACAGAATCCACCAGCAAGAA